CCTTAAACCTTTTTAAAATTTCGCATAACCCAAATTTAAACACTCCATATGTTTTGATCTCACATTATTGTCTGCTATTTCTATGCTTGTCGTTATCCGATCTGTGTAGGTTTTCTCGAATCCTTTGTTCTGGTAAGGCAACACAAAGAAAACAGTATGTATCAGAGGAATGCACATACTGCAAAAGATCAGGGTTTTAATACCCACCCACATACTCGCAAAAAAAACAATTAAAGAAGATACTCTCTTTTACAGTGCAAACACACACACATGCACTTATAGAGATTTGGAGGGACGCAGATTAATGCCATTCAAATCTTTGCCTGTGTAGTCAACTGAAAAGAAGCAAGGGCTTTCATTTGTTGCTTTTGATTTGTTGTGCACACACACACACACACACACACACACACATATAGAGAAACACTGCAGATCCTGTCTATTGTCAGCAGGCCTCTGATGCGGTTCACAGGACAGTTCAAGTCTGAATTTATTTACTCGCCATATGCTTTTATGCATAACTTTAAGGTAGATTTTATCAGTGCATATATCAGTTCCCTATAAGATTTGAAACTGATGACCTTAGAGTCGGTGCTGTGCATTTTTCAAAATAAATGTTCCAAAAAGATGTTTTTGCATTCAAAAGAACCGTTTTTTCACTATAAAGAACCTTTTATGCAATGCAAAAGAACCTTTATTTTTAAGAGTGCATCTTTCAGTGCATACTTAACTGCAGAGATGTATCTTACTCACTTATTATCCGACTATCATTGCATTTCCTGCTCTAATTTTGTGGGGATATCTCTATAATTGTGTATTAAATGTTGCAAGTGAGAGTATTGCACTCATTTTGAAAGCTGAAAGCATAATAAAACGAGCCAAAATGTGTAGACGTGTAGAAGTTTGTGAATGACGGGCGTTGCAATTCTGCTAAAACTTCTGCGGGTGCAGTATCTGCGTGGGCCCACGCGTTGCATCTCAGCAAAGCTCGGACAAAAAGAGCTTCATAGCGGTTTTCTCTCCCTGTCGCTTTAACTCTATTAATTGTTGATATGTCGCAATCCACGAGGCAGAAATTAGAGGGCTAATTATTCGATCATGTGATGCTGCCCCACTGCAGTGACAGAAAAGTAATTTCCCGGGCCTTGAAACTGATCTCACTTGATCGTTAGATGACGGATTTGTTTTATAATTCGATAAAAGCGGGGAATAAACCAGCGATGAGCCGATAAAGAGCCTCTCTCGTGTGCTTGGAGGGAGTAATTGTTTTTTAAATAATTAATACGGATTCCTGAGGGAGTTTCAAAGAGCAGGATCTTTTTGTTGTCATTCGGCCGGACTTGAGCTCTCGTACCCTTTCACTGATTTAAAAGTCTCGCATACTTTATTTGGCAGGTGTTCAGATGCAAGCAAAGCCGCAGGGGGACTTTTACAGTGCACACTAGAGGTTCAACAGCACAGTGTGCAGAACACAGAAATGACTGTTCACTGTGCTGTATTGGTTTATGTCACTGCATGCATTTATAAAACGATTAAATAATTAGTTGTAACACAAAAAGTTATGAAGTTAGACTCCCCTCATGCACCTAAGTCTATTACTGCAGGTTATTTTTATTATTTAATACACTTACAAGTCATAGGAGTCATGCACAGTCGACTACAAACTACTGTTTTAAAGTGCTCGAGTAGCACAGCTCCACTATTCTGTCTTAAAAATAATGCCATCCACCAATATTTCGAGACTGTAATGAGTTCCACGTTTTTGTGTTTCCAGGAAATGTTTGTTTTGAATGCATCTAATGGAGATTTGTATACTGCCCATTTGCCTCCGCATTGATTCAGAGTCTCTGTTCGGTATGTGGTGGGCACTGATGACTCTACCCCATGCTGTTTGTGTTATCAAACTGCCGAGATGCTCTTGGCTCTGATTTATAACACTACCTCAAATAATCTTGTTAATGCACATTTAACATTGTGGAAGTGGCAAGCACATAGACTAAACAACACCTACGCGTGCGAGCAGTCAGAATAGTACTGGTGAAAATAGTGCAGCTAAAAAGAGGAAGACCGTACTGTCTTGTTGTCATATAGGGGTTTCTAACTTTGGATGTACACTTACACATATTGTGACACTATTCCGGGGGAAACCGGATGATCTTGAAAAAAGGCAAAATAAGCAATGCAACATCTTTAGGGTGCTAAAAAATGGGGGGGGGGATGTTAAAATCGTTTTTTTTTTTTTTTAAGTATTAGAAGTGTTGAATTAATAGTTTTTTACATTATTATTTTTTTTTTTAGAATTGTGAATTAATTTGACAAATTCAAATGTAGTCAAAATTAAAAACTACATTTTGTTAATTGTTTCCTTTTTTCTTTTGCAGAAAAACCCTGTTAAATTATGTGATTTATATATGACCAAATATTTTTTTTTCATATTTCATCAAATTCTCAGATATTCAAGGATAAACATTGTTCATGGAAAAAGGCAAAATAAACAATGCAACATCTTTAGGATGCAAAAAAATTTGAAAAATGGTTAAAATCCAGTTTTTGCAATTAAACTTGATTTATTTATTGCAGTTTTTTTATATTAATTGAAAAAAAATCTAATGTAGTCAAAATGAAAATAGCATTTTTATTTTTTTTAAAAATGCAAAATTTTGAATACCCAAATTTGAATACCCAGAAATTCTTAGATAAAACATTTTATTTTATTAGTATGACTAAATAAACTGTTTCACCAATAAAAGTGTCAGATGAGGCAGTACAGTACATTTTTGTAGTGTTTGTGCAATGCTTTTGTTCTGCATTATGCATTTGTGTATTTGTTTATAATTGTTTTAATAAAATCGCTATCATATCAGTATTCATTATTGTTTGCTCTGAGCGTGCTACAAATATTGGCATTTTCAACTCTTCAGTTGTGTTTACCCTTCTTTAAATAGGCGAGAGCTGAATTATAAGCACAGTTGATCAAATAATTTCTCCTCTGTGAATCTGCATGCCCTTCTGTATGTCGGAGTTGGTGTTGTTGGGCAGTGTGTGTGTGTGTGTGCCAGGGCTCTTGGCAGTGTCTGCACCTGTTGGCAGCATCGGGATCCCCCTGGCAAGGCCGGCAGAAATTGTGTGATGCTCTTGTACGAGTGTAGAGGAGACTGCAGCCACAGCACGTCAACATGGCGGCCACGATCTGCTTACCACTGCTCTCGGTCCGCATTTCCAATTTACGGTGGAAATAAAAGTGGACCAATGCAACTACACAGTCCGTTTGCGATTTTGGAATTGACATTTAGAGCCACTGATGGATTGTGGGAGCAGAAATGCACCAGATAAAACCGTGCTATGTCATATTATTTACTATGACTGAATCAACTTTGCTAGATTTGAACAGTCAGATCTGATTGAAATAGTTTAAGTTTAAGAATTTGCATTGAAATACTGAATGTGTCTTGTATAAAAGAGCCACTGCAGCAAATGTTTTGATATAAAGTTGGCTATATTAGTTTTGGCCTAATCTAGAGCATTGCTGTAGCTGCTGCGCCACCCAATGTGTTGCACAAGGACTAACGTCTCAGCAAAAACAAGCTCCGTGCAAATTCACTTCAATGCCGGAAACGTGCTTAGCGCTGTACGAATGGCATATCAGATATGTTGGATTCATATGTAAAATTAAACAAACAAACTAACACCCAATCATTTACCTGTGGTGAATTGATTAACGTATTTTGCGACCCCTTAAAATGCATCCACCTTTTTTGGTCATCGCTCTTCTTTTACATTTCCTGTTTAACAGCAGTGATACTTAGTGTTCTAGATCAGCACATCTGCTGATTTCATATAGCTGCATCACCTTCAGTTTCATGTCTATACATGTTACACACCCTGCTTTTAAAAAAAATATGTCACTGTCTTCACTATAATTAATTATTGGGCCCATTAGTCATTCTAATTGTTGATTCTGGCATTGGTATATCTATCTATCTATCTATCTATCTATCTATCTATCTATCTATCTATCTATCTATCTAATTTGATATTACTGGTATACTTATTTATTAGATACATTCAATATATTCAATACAAGTCATGCTGAAATCATGAACACAGTATAGTAAATACAGATCTTTGAAAGTCATTTGAACCAATCAGGATGTGGCATTACTTCCAAACCCCCAAGGGTGATTACATTTGACCCTTGCACATATTTCTGCTTGCCTGTCGTCTTTACATGTCAATGTGTTTTTATGTATGATAACATACGTTCCAGTGTGGATAGCATAATGCCTCTGCAATTATTATTTTCTTTTATTGCAGTGGGGATTATTTTAAAATCAAATAAGATTGGGAATTATGTCATTCCTGTTTTGATGTAAACATAATTAGGAGTTTTAGTTTATTAATTCATGCATCAAATTGTAAGTCATTTTTTTATTTATGTATACCATTTTATAAAAAGCACGTTTTTACTTTTTACTGCATATTCTTTTTGAAATAATCACTTTGTAAACATTTGTTTGTACTCTTGTGCATTCATTTATTATTGTATCATATTTGCAGAAATTAGATCTCGCGTGCGTGCGTGTGTGTGTGTGTGTGTGTGTGTGTGTTCAGGGTTGGTCGTTTGCTTTCACCTGCACATATGTTTGTGTGTCATGCACCAGCATCACTGACAGATGGCGTGTCCTTTTGCTACAAGAAATATTGTACTCTTGAGGCTTTTTTGCAACTTTTAAAAACAGAACCGCGTCAAAAACCCCTCTACAATATCATCGCACTCGTTCATACGATCATTCGTTTGCTTCCTTCCCCCGATTCTGCTGATCAACTCATCATTAACATCTCAAAATCAAAATGCACACGCTCGCAAATAAAGATCGTTTATTTTGTAATACAAATGCAAAGTGATTTTATTGTGCTATCCGCTGCGTGTGCATCATGTAGGCTGTGTGTGTGTGTGTACAGGATGTGTGTGTAGATTCAGTAATAAATGCAGAACCGCCTCACTCTAATCAAGCTGATTAAAAATTCCTGCGCGCGTGCAGGCGGAAATCCACCATCATCATCATCATCATCATCCTCGTTCTCCGGCACTTTTACTTTATTTTCGCGTTCATCCTCCTCCAGGACAGCGACAGACGCGTGAGGACCCGAGATCCGTCTTCAATCGCGTCGTTTAGGAGGTTTAGAGATGAGGAGAAGCGGCAGGCAGCGCGGAGAGGGAGGGATGAGCCGATGCAACTCATAATTTAATGGGGACAGAGAGAAAGAGAGAGAGAGACGGAGAGAGAGAGGCAGAAGGGAAACAGAAAGAAAAGGACCGAGCGCGAATGTTACAAATGTAACAAGCGGAAGATACAATGTAGCGCTGACGTGCGTCAGGAATGTTCGGATGCTTTGATGTTTCATTCGACGTTCGAAAGTGTATCGCGCACTTTTAAAGCTGCTTCGGATCCGCAGATCGGCTCGAGATGAGAGGGCTTCGTGCTGTTGTTTGGCCAGATGAGAGGCGATTCACGAGCGCTTCTGGTCCTATAGGCGCGTATTGGTGAAGCTCAATGGGATGTGTAGGGAACGCTGGCGGTTACTTTTATTTTTAAGCGTTATTCTGCGCACAGAACGGACGGTGGATGTGATCGTAAACTCTATTGAACTCTAGACTCACCGGAGATCGTTGCATTTCGGCTCGATTGCATGCGTCTACGGTCTTTAGCTCTCATCACATTTTAAAGTACTTTGCGCTTCGTCTATATGGTTCTACGTGTATTATGCGCTGCGAGTCATGGCTTAGCGTGTGATATTAGGTTTTGGTGTGGACGATCTGGAAGTTTTCTGTTTTAGAATAGAATAGCTGACATAAAACTGATATTCGAGTGAAGTTTGTGCTCCTCCTGCCAAAACTTGGAAGTCGCTGTTCATCCACAGCTCCTTTTATATGCTTGTCTTAAATTGGTGAGTTCAGGCTTGTTATTTTTCCCCCCTTGTGTCTTTGTTTTATTGAATTGTTTTAATTATTTGTGAATGTTCTCCTTTTTATTTTTTAAATCTAAAAAATATATGTATATATTGTATGCACACTATACATTTTTAATAATTGACTTCTATTATTTTCACATAAAATGTAATGTTTTATATATATATATATATACACACCTGAATAAACCTGTATTGGGTTACAACAATGGATTTTAAGGCTCAGGAGAAGTAGAAATATATGTTTTTACTATTAAAATTTTTTTTTTTTTCTGTACCTTTTATATTGGTTTTTAAACAAACAAAGTCACATAAGTTCATCTGGTGTTCAGTGCTGTGGAATTCATTGTTGCATGTCTGATGTCTTGTTTGGCCTGTTTGATGAAATCTAACCCCGTCTGTTATGGTGTCTGTTGGAATGTTCCTTTATCGCTCCGGATGCAACGTTGAGACAAGGTGCATGTCCCTTTTCCGGAAATCTTAGATGATCCGAGACCTTTCTTTTGTTTTGGCATTTAGGGAAACACTTTTTGGGTGTTGTTAAATACAAGTAGTTGCAACCAAAAATCTTCACACTTTGTTTTAGATGCGTGTCTTCGCTTCAATGAGGAATTCAGGGTCTTTCAGTTTTATACCAAGAGATCTGATCGGCTAAATATTTCACAGCCTGTCTCTTGTATGGAAGGGTTCATCGTACGGTGCGCTGATCACTGAACTCCTCTGCACATTAATGCGACTGTACAAAAACTAGCTTGTTTGCTCTCCACATGGGATTCTGCAGTGGGTTAGACATACATAATACATGCTCTTAGAAATGGGAATGTGATCGTTGCATGAAACATTGTAAATGCCATGTAACATTAGGCTTGATTTGACATTTCAGTCTACATGGAAGAGACATAGTTTGTTGTAATTTCATCATTTTTTTTAGGTTCAGTAATCTTTATAAACTTTTCCCCCCAATTATAATGTTTATTTTATGGCACTTGATTTTCCAGCCGTCCTAATGCCACTGTTCTTCTATATTTTTCGCTTCAGGTGACAGTGAGCAGTGGTGCTGAGAACCATGGAGCATCTCAGCGAAACATGCCAAGGGAAGGATAACTGTGAGATGGTCAATAATCTGAATGACACCAAGGCCCCTCCAGCCAAAATGGCCCGCCTGGAACAGAACGGAAGCCCGCTGGGCAGGTCTCGTCTAGGTAGCACTGGAGCGAAACTCTCCGGAGTGCACTTCAAACCCCCTGGACATCATCTGATGGCCTGCCACAAGAGGGGTGAGTTTGCATTTTCTTACCACTGCACTCTTAAAAATAAAGGCATTGATGGTTTCATGAAGAATCTGTGGAACACTCTTAAAAATAAAGGTTCCAAAAGGGAGTTTTCACAGTGGTGCAATAGAAGAACCATTATTTGTTCCCCAAAGAGTTTTTAAAAGAACCATTTTTTTTCATAGTGTGAAGAACATTTTAAATATCTAAATGTTTTTTTCACTCTAAAGAATTTTGTGCATTGAAGGTTCTTCATGGAACCATCAATGCCAATAAAGATCCTTTAATTTTAAGAGTGAACCTTTCCACCATTCCACAAAAGGTTCCTTCTAGTGTAAATGGGTCCTTAAAATATTCTTCACAATAAGAAAAAATGGTTCTTTTAAGAACTGCTCAACCGAAAGGTTCTTTGGGGAACCAAAATGATTCTTCTACTGCGTTGCTAGAAAACCCCCTTTTGGACCCTTTATTTTTAAGCGTGTGTATCAATAATGGAATTGATTTTAGTGAGAAATCTGCCCATCCAAATTAGGACCAATGATATTTCACAGTGGGTGGGGCTATAGGATGTTTCATGACTCAGAAACCCAAGTGACCAACCAAATGTCCCATTTTATGTTGTGGCCATGGATGGTTAGGACCCTTATATCATGCACAAATATTATGTAAAGTAATTTGCACATTTTATATATTTGTTGCATAGCTATGCCACTAGCAGCATTTCTAAAACTACGTTTAGTAGTTATTGTAAGCACTTTTTTTTTTAAAGAAAACAGTCACTGGAAAACAGTACTTTGTCTACCGTTTTGGTATGTCACAAAAAAAAACTTAGTAAATGAATCCTGATAAATTTTTTTGGTTGCTGATTTGATGTTTTAGAGCATTGCTATTTATTTTGGCATATTTCTGCTGTGGAATTATTTAAAGAAAAAAAACAATAATACAAAAATAAAAAATATATATACATTTATGTACATGTACACACACACACAAATATATATCTATATCTGCAGTGTGCGATTAAAGGGAAAATGCTTTAGCTACAACAACTAGTGTCAGTTCTTCATGCACCCCGGCTGCATTCTATAGCTCTCTGGGTAACTGTTATTATTATTTATGGGAAAAGTGAACTTTTGCTGAGTGCTTGCTGAACTTTGGAAGCTACTGTACTCATTGTTTCAGCTGAATAATATTTACCATGGGCTTTTCTCAGCTCTCTGGGAACAAAGCGTGTATTGATCCTGAAATGAACCGACACAGCAGTCTTTATTGTTAGATCTTTATCTATTAAAAATGGAAAAGCTTCGATTCAGCACATTCCCTGGCATCTGCTTATGATTACCCTATTTATTGATTGTTTTCCAGAAAATGGTCGCATTCTTAGGAAACTGCGACCGCGAGGAGCAGAAATATGATTTATTACGATTGCCCCGGATAGACGGCGTTGAAATTACCCACAGCCTCTATTAAACCCTGTAAAAATAAAGATCCTGGGTCCAAGAGATCATGAAGTTCCTGAAATTTCATCACCGGAGTGTTGCAGCTGGCTGGTATTATGTGATATTTGCACAGTAAACCCGAACACATGACAGCTTTGGATGGAGATTCTTCGTTTTTTTTTCCCTGATAGCGGCACGCTGTTTACACAGACTCATAAACCTCAAGGCTATATGGTGCATTGGGAGCCGCTGCACGGCATCATGGGAAGGGTACTGGGATCTGCCTAAAGAAGTATTCTAATGTGATTTGAGCACCTTAACAATAAATAAAGCGCTAAACCCACGATGAGCTCTAACCTTTTAGTGTGCTAACACGTTTAAATAGTGGAGCTGTTTCATTGACGTCATCTCCGCTTGTTCTGCATTGTGATCCAATTATGCATGTTACAATGCTGCTTTATTGTAACACTGTTACAGTGGATGATAATCAATTGATAACACAGCCTTGCATGAAAAAATAGTTTCAGCTGATTTGCAAAAAATGCCTAAAATTAAGAATGAAGATTCAAATTTAACTTTACATACGAAGTACTTTAGTACTGTTAAAATGTTTTTTTTTTTAAACGAAATTAATACATTTATTCAGCAAAGATGCCTTAAATTGATCAAAAGTGACAAATACATTTATAATGTTACGAAAGATTTCGGTTTCAAATAAATGCTGTTTATAAAAGTTTCAGTTTTAATGACCGAAGTAATCAATGTATCATTCAACTTTCAATCTGAAAACGAGTGGGAAAATGTTCAAATACTCCACTGAATGTCAGTTTTACATTAGCTTATTTATTCAGTTAATGAATCAATAAGCTTTTTCACAAAAACTGTAATTTTCTGTCGCTGTTTGGATGTAGTAACCCGCAGATGTAGCAGAAATATCTGTCGTATGTTTGTATCTTCTTCCATCGACTGGCCATAATTCTAACCTTGAAATCAGGATTAGGCATAAAATAATGTCACATGTGAAAATGGGCTGAGAATTGAACAAAGAGTTGTAAATTATGAGAGTTGTGTCTTTATGGCTTTATGCTGTGCTGCTTTAGAGAAGAGGAAGAGAAAACTAGAGGTGCACGTAAAAATCTATACATGTATGAATCGCGATTCTGTCTTCTAATGATTCTAATGGATTCACAAGTTTCAAAATCAGTGTTCTAAAGCAGCGGTTCTTAACCTGTTATACTGTTCCTCGCGTCCCCTGCTCTGCACACGCTCTGCATCTCTCTCTCTCTCTCTCTCTCATTCAGCTCAGCTCCAACAATGAACCGTTCCAATTATACACTTATTTTCACATAGCTATGAGAAGCGTTAAACATGGACGAGCGTGCAGTTGCCGTACTGTATTAAAGTTTTAATCAGGATAAAAACGTATATTAAAAGCTAAACATAAGCAGTAGCATTTACAAATAACAGCGTATCTAAAAGTATGAGACAACAACAAACAAAAAACATAGGCCTACCATTAAAAGCCGTGCTTGCACAGGTTCTGCACAATCCTCTTCAATAATATCCTCTGCTTTTCAATCGGGCTCAAACTGATAAGCGATATTAACAACGCCATTGTTTACAATACAACCGGAGCACATGTCGCCGAGGTGAGGGGCGGGACGTGCACTAGAGGCGGTTTAGCCAATCACAACACACTGGGCTAGCTAACCAATCAGAGCCCATTCTGAGGGAGGGGCTTCATACAAGAAGGAAATGATCAGCCCCTTTCTCAGAGAAGAGACTAATATAAATAAAAACAACTTTTATTTTTCGCTCGAGTTTGGATGAATATGCAACAAAAATACTGTTGTTCAAAATCTGGCATTTTAGCATCTCCCTGTTGTGTGCAGCGGTGTAAAGCTTGCACTCTTGTTTCTGCTAGGTAACATGCTGCCAGTGTTTTGTGTGGTGGAGCACTACGAGAGCCCCATCGAATTTGACAGCAAAGAGGAACATGCTGAGTTCGTTCTGGTCAGGAAGGACATGCTCTTCAACCAGCTAATCGAGATGGCCCTGCTCTCCCTGGGCTACTCGCACAGTTCGGCTGCACAGGCTAAAGGTACGGCGCGTTTACACCGTCCAAAACATGGCATACAGACAAATGGTGCACAGCGATACCTATTTCTCCAGAATGTGCGTGTTGTTTTTTTTTTTTGCTGTTGGATCAGAATCATGAGTCATAAAATGCTAGGCAGATGCTCGGATATTTTTGGAGGCTCAACAGAGATATTTTTGGAGTGATTTGTTGGCTGTGTTCTGGTGCATGCATGCTTCTGCTCAGGCTGACCTGATGCCGAGGTCAGGGGGTTGTGGGTAGAGGCAGGAACACACAGGTGCACCTCCTGCACTCTGTAATCACACTTCTCAATGGGAACGAGTGTGGAGGTGGGCCTGCGGTTTCTAATTGCTCGCTTTGTGGAGTTCGGGGCTATTTTAAGAGCTGTAGCCTTCAGCCTGTAATTTATTGCAGGCTGTCCATCATAATTCCTTTTTTCTTTGGATCTTCTGGATCTTGTTTTTTTTTTCTGTTACTCATTTAGTGTCAGTCGACAGACAACATATAGTCGAGCAATTGTTTTTTTTGTTTTTTTTTAAAGGTTTTTTTTTTGCAAACCTGTATAAAAATACCATGGTATTACCATTTAATTAAACTTTAGAAAGACCGTGGCTGTGTTTCAAAACCTTGTAGGCACCAAGTCAACATACAAATGTATCATACAAATAGAGCTGTTCACAAAAGGCTCACCGATTGATTTCAGTATTGAGTTAGGCATTATAATGTGGTTAGGTTAATGTGATGTTCATAAATCAGAACTGCTCAAATGTTAAGAAATTAATATCTTTATTCAACAAGGATGCATTAAGTTGATAAAGTGACAAAGACAAGTATAATGTTTAGGGATGCACCAAAATTTAAATTCTTGGCCAAAGCCGAACAAAATGAAACACTGGGCCGAAGGCCGAATACCGAACATGGTTTTTCAAATTTTTCCCCCATGTAGGCCTATTTTGCCATTTATTAAATTGCCAAAATGTGCTTTTTACTGTTTTGTCCTGCTTTTCAAATAAAAACAAATATTAAAAAATATTTACCTAACACTGAATTTTTTTAAACATTCTAGCAGATATTATACCAACAAAGCACAATTTAACTTAAAATTAATAAGTTGGTAAAATTATATTTTTTGGCCATTTTTGAGACCTGAATCAGGCATGTATCTTTTACTGTACAAATAAAGGCAGCCTTGCTGAGCAGAAGATAATTCTTTTAAAACATTAGAATATATTACGGATCCCAATTTGAACACTGTGTGAATGTTATAATGTATTAATAGAGCTGTTGTAGGGTTGTTGTTGTTATTATTATTATTAGTCTTTTTTTATTTTATTTTACAGCACGACAGTAAAATTAAAATACTATCAATTATGAATGTCGATGGAGTTGTTGCTTTTGCTCTGCTTTTATTTTGGCAGAAATCCGCAGGAAGATCTTAGTGCTTCTTTTTGTTGACAAGAGCATGCAGATTTATAAAATATTCTCATTACGAATTTGGGAAGATGTTTGTCGCACGTATCACATTGTCACATGCCTTTAAAGTCCGCGTGAACCGGAAGTTGTTGCAGACTTTATTTCAGTTTAGTGACGTATTTCCAGCTGAAACGGAATATTAAATAGAGGGCATGGTTTTATGTTAGCGCTCCTCCTCTCTGTCTCTCACTCTTATAGCAATCTAATGGTTGGAGGGGTGTGTTTAAGGATATTCTGCCCAAGCCGTCAAACTGACGTCATCAGAAAAGGAATACCATTCCAGAGCGGAAGTAAATGTTCAGATTTTGATTAAAGATTACCAAAAACAAAACACAAATTTCAGCGGATTATCTTGCATGGATTAATCGTTTACATCAAGACTAGCAATGTGAGCTAGTAAAGTAAATAGTCCATTTTGATTTCATGCGGACTTTAAAAAAAATTCACAAAAATTCTGCCTTTTCGCTTATTTCGGTTGCCGAATATTCGGTGCATCCCTAATAATGTTACAAAAGATTTGTTCTTTTAAACTTTTTATATTCATCAATCCTAAAAAATGTTATCCGTTTCCACAAAAATATGAAGCAGCACAACTGTAATAATGATCAGAAATGTTTCTTGAGCAGACATACAAATGTATCATACAAATAGAGCTGTTCACAAAAGGCTCACCGATTGATTTCAGTATTGAGTTAGGCATTATAATGTGGTTAGGTTAATGTGATGTTCATAAATCAGAACTGCTCAAATGTTAAGAAATTAATATCTTTATTCAACAAGGATGCATTAAGTTGATAAAGTGACAAAGACATGTATAATGTTTAGGGATGCACCAAAATTTAAATTCTTGGCCAAAGCCGAACAAAATGAAACACTGGGCCGAAGGCCGAATACCGAACATGGTTTTTCACATTTTTCCCCCATGTAGGCCTATTTTGCCATTTATTAAATTGCCAAAATGTTTTGTCCTGCTTTTCAAATAAAAACAAATATTAAAAAATATTTACCTAACACTGAATTTTTTTAAACATTCTAGCAGATATTATACCAACAAAGCACAATTTAACTTAAAATTAATAAGTTGGTAAAATTATATTTTTTGGCCATTTTTGAGACCTGAATCAGGCATGTATCTTTTACTGTACAAATAAAGGCAGCCTTGCTGAGCAGAAGATAATTCTTTTAAAACATTAGAATATATTACGGATCCCAATTTGAACACTGTGTGAATGTTATAATGTATTAATAGAGCTGTTGTAGGGTTGTTGTTGTTATTATTATTATTAGTCTTTTTTTATTTTATTTTACAGCACGACAGTAAAATTAAAATACTATCAATTATGAATGTCGATGGAGTTGTTGCTTTTGCTCTGCTTTTATTTTGGCAGAAATCCGCAGGAAGATCTTAGTGCTTCTTTTTGTTGACAAGAGCATGCAGATTTATAAAATATTCTCATTACGAATTTGGGAAGATGTTTGTCGCACGTATCACATTGTCACATGCCTTTAAAGTCCGCGTGAACCGGAAGTTGTTGCAGACTTTATTTCAGTTTAGTGACGTATTTCCAGCTGAAACGGAATATTAAATAGAGGGCATGGTTTTATGTTAGCGCTCCTCCTCTCTGTCTCTCACTCTTATAGCAATCTAATGGTTGGAGGGGTGTGTTTAAGGATATTCTGCCCAAGCCGTCAAACTGACGTCATCAGAAAAGGAATACCATTCCAGAGCGGAAGTAAATGTTCAGATTTTGATTAAAGATTACCAAAAACAAAACACAAATTTCAGCGGATTATCTTGCATGGATTAATCGTTTACATCAAGACTAGCAATGTGAGCTAGTAAAGTAAATAGTCCATTTTGATTTCATGCGGACTTTAAAAAAAATTCACAAAAATTCTGCCTTTTCGCTTATTTCGGTTGCCGAATATTCGGTGCATCCCTAATAATGTTACAAAAGATTTGTTCTTTTAAACTTTTTATATTCATCAATCCTAAAAAATGTTATCCGTTTCCACAAAAATATGAAGCAGCACAACTGTAATAATGATCAGAAATGTTTCTTGAGCAGTAAATCAGCATATTAGAATGATTTCTGAAGGATCATGTGACACTGAAGACTGGAGTAATGATGCTGAAAATTCCGCCTTGAATCCCAGGAATAAATTATATTTTACAATATATTCACATAGAGGACATTTATTTTAAATTATATTTTTTCACAATATTACTGTTTTTACTGTAGATTTGATCAAATAAATGCAGCCTTGGTGAGCATAAGAGTCTTATTTCAGAAGCATTTTAAATGTTTCACCAACCTTACCAAACTTTACAGTAATTAAAAAAAAAATAGCGTACACAAATATGGGTTATATTTTAATTATATCTTGGCATTAAATGTGTTTATAACCAAAATTTCTCTCATTCCGCCTGCCATATTGGATAGTTTTTTTTAAAGGGGTCATATGATGCTGCTAAAAAGAACATTATTTGGTGTAATGAAATGTCATTTTTTTAAAAAGCTTTATAAACAAATACTGTGCAGCGATGAAATGGCACTTATTTTTAAATATTTCCTACTTTTGTATATATTCATATTTTTTGTATGTTTTTAGCTCATGTATCATTCAAAAATGTATATGCATGTATGTGTGTATATATGTATGTATGTGTATGCATACGCACACACAAAACAATAATAATAATAATATAAAAGACTATATATCATTGTAATACATTCAGTCTGGTCTTCCTTCAGTGTTACCAAACAGGTTTCCCTGTCTTCCATTGGTCAGACAAACAAATAGTCACTCATCCTATAAGTTAAGTCAAATCTGTTTGTCTGATTGATTGCAGACTGTTTGAAAACAATCATTGTTTTTGCAGTTCCGTTTTGTCACACTAGTGACGTAGAAATTATGCCCCTCAGCCTTAATTTTCATCGCATGCTGGCGTCGAACATCTCTGAAGGGTTTATTTTTTTTGCATGGAGTGTTGCGATATTTTCTTGGCAGCTTGCCGTTTATTGCGTCCTATTGAACAAGCATTCATTAATGACACCCTGAATGCAGCTGTGTTTTCTCCATTGACTGTAATGCAAAAAAATATGGCATACATAACTGCAATGGACTTAAAAATAATTATATATATATATATATAATATATATAAAAAAAATTTTAACTGAAATGTTCTATTTTAATATAATATTTAAAAACATAGTAACATTATTTTGGAGTCTTTTAATTTAATTCAGGCTTATTAAAAAAAAAAAATTCTATTACCATAGTAAAAATCTCATCGGAATCATTGAAAAAGATGTAAAACATCCAGACTGTTTCAGTAATGAGAATTTGAGGGGGAAAGTCTGCTTAATTGTAATGAAAATTATGTAAAAAAAATAAATGCAAATAAAAATGGTCGGTCCTAGAAGTAAGCGTAATGTTTTTTTTGTTTTTTCAAGTGAATTGAATATTTTTTTTTCTATTCTAATCTTCAATCTTTATAAAATCTTTAAAGTGTTTTACTGCATTA